ATAAGGGAAAGTTCTACATTAACCCCCACTGGCCCAGAGAAGTGAATTACATCCCCAAGTAAAAGCCCAGTACCTTAAAAAACATTTTTTTTTAATGTTTATTTATTTTTGAGACAGAGAGAGACAGAGCATGAACAGGGGAGGGTCAGAGAGAGGGAGACACAGAATCCGAAGCAGGCTCCAGCCTCTGAGCTGTCAGCACAGAGCCCGACGCAGGGCTTGAACTCAAGACTGTGAGATCATGATGTGAGCCGAAGTCAGATGCTTAATCGACTGAGCCACCCAGGTGCCCCAAAAAGCCCAGTACCTTTGGGAATAAGAATGCATAGGATCACCTGGGTGGTTCAGTTGGTTAAGTGTCTGACCTTGACCTCGGCTCAGGTCATGAGCTTGGGGTTCCTGAGTTCAAGCCCCGCAGGAATGCATATAGTTTTATGGTGCTTCTAGAGTATTAAAAGCATGGGAGGATGGCAGTCAAGTAACATTCACCATCCCTAAAACTCTTACTGGAGTATTTATGATCATAGAAACCGACTAATAGGACAACAATGGCATCCTAGGTTGAGATATCTAGGAGTTCTTTGGAGTAGGAAAACAATCTTGAGCCAAGATCCCAGGATATTATAGGCAGGAATTCCAATGGAAATATTCTGGGCTCACATTTAATGTCTTTCTGGCAAGTAGGACAAGCAGACAGATTTTTAAGAAGTTGGTGGATAAGAACTTACTGAGAGAAGTTTGGATAGGTCTCTTTGGGAACAAGTATTCTCACTTTATTATGATTTTCAAAGAATGGAGCTAGATGCAGATTCTGAGTAAGATCTTAGCATGTAGCATGCTTTCTTTGGATATACATCTTTTCAGAAAGGGCATGTATTTGAACAATAACACTTGCTTTTTCCCTAGGATGAGGTTTTGTCAAAAAAGGGTTTGATGAACTTTGCTTTCTGCTTTGGACAAAGGACTAAAGAGTTGAGTTGCAGAGTTGTTTCACATTTATGAGATCTGTTCTTAATATCACCATTTGGATATTACTGATGTCCTATCTGAATGTCAGTTTTGCATTTTAGAGAAACTTCATTACTTTATTAAGTCTTCATTTAAAGACTATGGACTAAAGCTTTGCATTCTGACATTTTGGGAATTGAAATATTTATTTTAAAGACAAATTTCGGGGCACCTGGGTGGCTCAGTTGGGTAAGCATCTGACTCTTAGTTTCAGCTCAGGTCATGATCTCATGGTTCTGTGAGTTCAAGACCCACATCAGACTGCACTGACAGTGCAGAGCCTGCTTGGGATTCTCTCTCTGCCTTTCTCTCTCTCTCTCTCTCTCTCAAAATAAATAAACTTTAAAAAAGTAAGATAGCTTCCAAAACATGCAATGTCATCTTATTAACTGCAGTATCATAGTTTTTGTGACTCATTTTTTTGTCATATTTACTCATTTATTTGACATGTTTATTCTAAAGAAAGGTCTCTGTTCCTATAAGTACTCCAAACTGACAGAGGAACCTTTCTTCACCCGATTCACATCATTCCTTGACTATACATTCCCCAGTACTTTTCTACTGGGTACAGACTTATTTCTCTTTTCCCTCCGGGCCCCTAACAAGTATCACCCAAGTATTTGTCCTGTACAGGCTTCCCTTGCGTGTGCTCTGTAAACAATCCAAACCTCACTGCCAACTTCACTGATACATCCTGTACTTTCTGTATCACATTTCCTTGTTCGTTCTCTTCTTAGAACGCCTTAGCTTCCTCATCCCACCTATCTCTGCTTGCCAAATGCATATTTAGGTTTCAGAGTCCATTTCGAATGCTGCTTTTTTTTTTTTACATGGTTGCCCTTTGGCCCCTATTCCTGCAGCTCATACTAATCCCTGTTTACTCTTTAAGGCTCCACACAGTCCTTCTCAAGCCCCCCTTCCTAGGGTAGTTGATGTGTCCTTGTCAGTTTGTAAATCCTTTGAGGTAGAAGTTGTACCCTGCTTTCTGTCCCTTGCAGGCACCTACCGGAACATCTTGGCCTGGGCAAAATGGAGTCAGTGATTGTTTAGTTGAATTGTTAGCCAGTCACTATAGTATTCTTTCCAGACCAGCAGTGGCATGTCTCCAGTTAATGATCTGTGCAGAGAGATGAATGTAGCTTTACTGAAAATAGGATTTACGGGATTATTAGATTAGATTGTAGTTAGACTAGTTGTAGGTTACTCTTTTAACATATCAGATCTTCACATTAGCAAATAGAAGTTTAGTAAAGTGGCCAGAAACTTTCTTACATACAAGTAAACCTAGATGGGGCTATAGAAAAGTTACTCTCAAAATTAAAAGCAGGAGCAACCACAACACAAATGCTTAGAGATAAATGAATAAGGAATGTATAATATGTGAATAAAACCATCAGACTTTAGTAAGAGATGTGAAAGGTTTTGAATAATGATAGACACATTTCTGGATAAGAATAATTGAATGTTCTGGGGATTTCCGTTCTATTCAGATTTAGAAATTTACCTTAATCCCAGTAGAAAATTTGCTGATTTTTTTCTTTTTGAATGATAGAATGGTCCTAAAATGTATCTGTAAAAATGAATAGGTATGAATAGTTATGGCATTTTTTAAAATTTTTTTTCAACGTTTTTTATTTATTTTTGGGACAGAGAGAGACAGAGCATGAACGGGGGAGGGGCAGAGAGAGAGGGAGACACAGAATCGGAAACAGGCTCCAGGCTCTGAGCCATCAGCCCAGAGCCCGACGCAGGGCTCGAACTCACTGACCGCGAGATCGTGACCTGGCTGAAGTCGGACGCTTAACCGACTGCGCCACCCAGGCTCCCCAATTATGGCATTTTTAAAAAGAAGACTAATAAAGGGGTTTGCAGGATAGGGAATTCTGTATCCAGATATTAACTGATAGTCTTTACGACAATCTGGTTTCAATATAAGATTTAAGATGTCAGTGGATAGTGTTAGAGCTCCCAGTAGACCCTTTTACATATAATTACTTTATTTGTTATAAAGTAAACATCACAAATCATAGGAGAAGTTATTAATTATTCAATAAGTAATGCTAGGAAAACTGGCTACTGGAGAAGGGGAGGAATAAGGCTGTATCTTCACCTTTAATTAAATTCCAGAAGGAAAAAGTGGTAAATGTTAAAAAGGAAAATAGAATCAGAAGAGAAATGCAGGTAAAAAAAATAAATCTAAAAAGACCTTTTAAAGCTAAAAAAAAAAAAAAAAAAAAAAAAAAAAAAAAAAGAAAAGTCAGAGGAAAAGATAGGTAATATTTGATTATACAAAAACTATGAAACATTTGTATGTCAAAACATAAAATTAAAAGATAAGGAATACTTTAGAGGAAAATGTTTGCCAAATATAATGGACAAAGGTTGCCCATATATATGAAGAGCTCTTATGAATAAATAAGAAAAAAATTAATATTCCAGTAAAATTGGGCAAATATGAACAAGGAAAGCCATAAAAAATGCAAACAGAAAAATGTATGTTTAAAACTAATATTAATATATATTAAAATGTATAGATTAAACAATCATAAAATATCATTTTTACCCCATCGACTAGGAAAGATTGAAGTTTAATACTTAAAGTTGGTAAGAGTATATGAAATAGACATACTTACGCATTATTTATTGATAGATATGTAAATCAGTGTGAACTTTTTTGGAAAACCGGTTTTATTGTTAGATCCAGTAATTCTACTCCTAGTGATGCATCCTAAATAGTGGAGATACATATTGTATTAGTCATTTCTTCCTGTATAACACTCCAAAAAGGGGGTGACTTAAAAATAAGCATCTATTATCTCAGCGTTTCTGTAGGTTGGGAATTCCTGTGCAGCATAGCTGGGTGCCTCTGACTCAGGTTTCTTTCACAACCCTGCAATCAAGGCGTTGGCCAGGACTCTAGTTATCCTAAGGCTTGGCTGGGGGAGAATCTGCTTCCAGGCTCGCTCATGTGGCTGTTGGCTGGCCTCAGGTCTTTGCTAGCTGTGGGCTTGAGGACCCTAGTTCCTTGCACATGGCGCTCTCCATGGAGCTACTTACCTGCTAGAGGGACAGCTGAAGGTCCATTCTTTTTGTAACCTAATCTTGAGAGAAACATCTCCTCACTTCTGCCATAGTCTGTTTGCCAGGAGTAAGTACTAGGTCCAACTCACATTCTAGGGGAAAATATCACATAAGGGCATGAATACCAGAGGAGGGGTTTGGTTGGAATATTTTAGACACTCCCACACAGGTTAACATACAAAGGTTTGCATCGGAGTGTTTTTTTTTTAACTTATAATAGCAAAAATATAAATACATAATCACATATACACAAAGAAACAAATAAGGAAGCAATTGAAATATTCCATAGCAGAAGAATGCTTAAATTGTACCGTATCCACACAGTGGTAGTATAATTGCGTAGTAATGATCATGTCTACCTTTTCGAGAGTCAGTCCCGTGCTAGGCATTTGCTCCTGACTGTGCTAATATTTCTGATCCTGACAACAACCATGTTATTACCTTCAGGTCACAGCTGAAAATGCTGATTCTCAGAGACAAAAGAGTTCATTGAATTCTCAGCACCAGCATGCCATTATAGGGTTATCTGGCTTCAGAGCCCAGTAACCACACTGGCGTTGAAACACGCTTATGAAGATTTCTCATGACATGAGGAAAACTTACAAATCTGTTTTTACAGAGTGATCCGCGTGTGTGCACATTTTATTTACATCGAAGAAAAAGATTGTCACCAATGTTATCTTTTAGTGGTAGAATCATGGAATATTAAAATTTTTCTTTAAACTTTTATTTCATTCTCAATCTACATTCTACATGTATACCCTTTATAATCATTTTAAAAAATGAGAATGCTTTGTAAAATATTTCAGCTCCTACTCCCAAGGAAAAACCATTAGCAAGACTTGCACAGTTTTATGTAAAATTGAAATTTTACTTGATAACGAATCATTCCCTTTAATCTGCTCTTCTAGATTACTGATCTCTCCTTACCCAACTATCTGATGGCATCTTCGGTTGGACTGCTTCCTACCCAGCTTCTGAATTCTTACTTGGGTACCACCCTGCGGACAATGGAAGATGTCATTGCAGAACAGAGTGTTAGTGGATATTTTGTGTTTTGTTTACAGGTGAGTTTAAGGCTAAGGGTTCTCTCTCTCTCTCTCTTTTTTTCTTTTTGTATGGCATTGCTTATTTTAAACCTAACAGATTTCATTGAGAATGATTTAAGAGAATTTTTCCTTTTTATTTCTTTTCTTGTTCTTTCAATCATACTTCATATTTTTACAACATTTACATTTTAACTGTGGATATATGGAAGTGTATAGAACTGAACTGATGCTTCTTAAAAATTCTCTTAAAACAAAGGGAATGACAAAAATAGGGTTCTTTTTGTAGTGATTTTCAGTCATCGCTCTATTTCGAGTTTTTGTGAAGTGTTGTTAATACTATGTTTCTGAAGATAATTTTAGTGAGATTTGGTAGGGTTGGGTTTTTATCTGACTTTATCTTCAAATTACTGAACTCTCTAATTGGTATTTTTAAAAAATATTATACTGGCAATGTAATTTTTTTTCCAGTACAATTTGATGCAGAAAAAAATGTTTTTTTTTTAGAAAGGATTGCTTTATAAAAGTGTCTGAAGTATTCCATTACAAATTCCTGTAAGATTTGCATAATGGATTATTATTACCATGCAAATTGTAATATAGTTTAGGGTAATACAATTCCATATAAAAGGTTGATAAAAGAAAAAAAATCCTGTTATGTAGGCACATTTATTCAGTGCCTTTAAGTTGCAACGGGAAGAGTTCAAAATTCATTTCGTTAGTTATGCTATATTTGCTTCCTGAGATTTATGAAAATATAAAATCACCAAAATTTTTGATGGTTTAGTAAGACGATGATAATAACTTTTGAGAGCTTTGTATGCCATATATTTAAGCTCATTTAATCCCTACCAAAACACTAGAAGGTATGTCCTTTTCTTATGTCCAACTAATTGCGTACATCTCTCCCCAACTCTTCGGCAACATCAGCAGTGGCAGGAATATTTATACTATGGAAAATGGCAGGTGCTCCAAATCAAGACTCCTACCTCTGATCTCCAAGAGCTAGTTTATCAGCACACCAGTAGATAGTGATTTGTCTAAAGTCTCAGCTGCAAGGGGTTGGACCAGGACATGAACCAAGGTAGTTGGCCATGGGAACCATGCTCATAGCCAGGACGATAGTTTACAGAGCAGATAACACTGAGATAGCCAGCTTATCTTCCTGGTTTCTTCACTTGGTAGGTTTAATTTATAGTTATTAAATATATGCTAATCATATTACAAATTTGCTTTTAGCATTATTCTTAATTTTTAAGTTACTATAGTAAAAATACTATGATAAGTAAAGCCAGAGTTGATTTTCTTTGTGCTTATGTAGTAGAAGTTTAGTAAGTCCAGGAATATTTACATTGAGCCATAAATAAAGCTTATCAATTGAATGGCTTACTTTAAGAAAAAATTTGTAATATTTTTCCTATTCGGGAATCCCATTTTGTTTTTACTTGTTTGTACAAAGTGATACATATGTACATACACACACACACACACACACACACACGCATGATATATATATATCATGCGTGTATGTGTATGTATTTTAAAGAACCTGAATGATAGATTTAAAAAAAATTTTTTTAAATGTTTATTTCACTTTGAGAGAGAGACACACAGAGTGTGAGTCAGAGAGGGGCAGAGAGAGAGGGAGACACAGAATCTGAAGCAGGCTCCATCCAGGCTCTCAGCTCTCAGCACAGAGCCTGACATGGGGCTCAAACTAATGAGCCGTGAGATCATAACCTGAGTTGAAGTCGGACACTTAACCAACTGAGCCACCCAGGCACCCCATGAATGATAGATTTTTTTTAAGTTTATTATTTATTTTGAGAAAAAGAGAGAGAGAGTGGCTGCAAACAAGGGAGAGGCAGAGAGAGAGAGAGAGAGAGAGAGAGAGAATCTCAAGCAGGCTCCACGCTGTCAGCACAGAGCCCAATGTGGGGCTCAAACTCACAAACCGTGAGATCATGACTTGAGCTGAAATTAAGAGTCAGAGCCTAACCAAGTGGGCAACCCAGCTGCCCCTGAATGATAGATTTTTTTTAGCATACATTTAAGCACATTTTATGTTTTTTTTAGTTCTCTGAAAATGAGTAACCCATTCAAAATACCTTTTTTCCCATTACATTATGTTTGCGTAATTAGAATTGGTCATTATCGGTAGATTTCATAAGTTTTTCATTATTTGATATTTTGTTTCTATGTATCTTAGTAAATCACTCAACTATAATTAGTGGAGTTATAATAGAACAAAGTAGTTCATGCATTTGTCAGTAGTGCTTCTAAAAATATAGGGTCTTGTTTTTTTCCAACAACTTCTTACCCCTTTGAGTTGACAAATTCAGCTTAGGCTACAAGACGGGGGAAAGGCAAATATTTTTTAGCCCAGACGTTTATAAAAACAATAATAACTGCCACAACAAAAAAAATAAAGACATGTTTATACCTCGGATTTATTTGTTGATGTTCCTTATAACTTAGTATATTTCAGAAAGGATTTCATTCAGCTTACAAAAGAACACAGAATAAAACAAGAGGGAAAAGAAGTCCGCGTGAAGAGGGAAACTAACATGGGAACAAAGGATGAAGCTTAGGTTAAAGTTAGTAGAGTAAGTGTATTCGTGAGGTTTCTCATATTTGCTAGAAATAAGTCACTCGTCTGCCTCTGAGCTTTATAGCCACCTAAATAGAATCCACAGCGTCTGTAAAATTAAAGCAATACAAAATAGATGTTCAGAGGAAGGAACAACTATTTCGTGTACAAAAATCTAACTTAAGATGCTGTGGTCTCTTGTCCATGCCCTGTATTTTTCGGTGTACCCACCAGCCAAAACCCTGGATGAATCCAAGTTTTGGTATGTTTCGCACCTGTTGTTTTGGGGGAAGTCATACAACCACATTGGTAATATTTAATTCATGATTGCAAAACTTCTGGTTTCTCAGTATTTCCCCATAACTTAACTGTTTCCTTTGTCTTCCCACCCCCCATTTCCTCAATGACTATGGCAAACCTATCTTCACTCCTTGTAATTTTGGCTCCTGTCCCCACTTTCCACTTCATTCTCAACAGATTGCCTTTCTTGATTAACAGAAAAATCAGAACCCTTCAAGTGGGAAACCCCTCAATTTCCATCTAAGAAATCTACTAACTGTCTGGTATTCTGCTCATGCTCTCAGCCTGCTGTCTAGTCGATGGTGGAGGAGATGCCTTTCTGTGGAAGGCTGGTCCATTTGTTTGTGTTTGATTCTTTTGTGTTCATAAGGAAACTTTATAAAACAGGTTTTTGTTCCTTTTTTTTTTTTTTTTTTTTTTTTTTTTTTTTACTCTTTAATAAGGTAGTATGTTGGGGAAAGAATCAGCACATATTGCCAGGCCTTGGGTCTACAAGGGCATCTGGGGGAAATCCCATGTAAAGATTTTACCCTCACTGGAAACCTGAAAAAGTTTTTCACTAGATCTAAGCCTACTTTCTGTGGCTGTCATCATTAATTTTGTCGAAATCAGGTATACTTTCCAGTTGTCATCTGACTTGAACTCTCAGCAACCTAAGATTCTTTTTAAAACGCTTTCTTCCCTTAGCTGTTTTGATTTTTTTTTTTCCCACGTGCTTGGTTCATTTGTCAGCATCTCTTCTTCTTTGCACCCCACAATTGATATTCCTCAAGATTCTAACCTAAGCTTTGTGTTCTTACTCTGAAAACTCTTCTTCCTGGAAATGCAGTTATTATGGTGGCTGCTATTAGGTTTATTTGCATAAAGACTCCCAAATACACATCTTCAGCTCAGCCTTCTTTCTAAGCTCTGGACCCATTCACTGCACTGCCTTGGATATCCAACAGGCACCTCAAATCCAGCATGTCTGAGGCAGAGCTCAGCAGCTTTCCCGTACCCTCCCCAAGTCAGTTTTCCACATCTTTCCATGGTGTCACCATAACACTGATAGGTATCAAACTTATGTATCAGTTAGTATATCTTGTTTTTTTAGGAGAGCAAATACAGCATTTGAAGGCCCACCTTTAAAATACCTAATTTGCTCAGAATTATGGGGCACCTGGGTGGCTCAGTTGGTTAAGCATCTGACTTGGGCTCAGGTCATGATCTTGTGGTTCATTAGTTCAAGCCCGCGTTGGGCTCCATGCTCACAATGCAGAGCCTGCTTGTAAGTTTCTCTCTCTCTCTCTCTCTCTCTCTCTCTCTGTCTCTCTCTGTCTCTCTGTCTCTCCCTCTCTGTCTCCTTCCCTCTCTCTGCCCCTCCCCTGCTCTTGCTCTCTCTCTCTCTCTCAAAATAAATAAATAAGCTTAAATAAGAATTTTATTGAGTACTGGATACCCATTTATTAGTGCCCCCCCTTGCACAAGTTCCAAGTTCCCCTCGCTAACCCACACCCACTATGCTCTGCCTTGGCACTTCCCTCACTACCCTCAATGCTTCTATTTAGAATACTTTTCCCACAAAACTGTTAAAATTATGGATAGGCTTTTATTTTATATCATGTTATATTTTAGGGTCACTATGGTTAGAGTAGCCTTTGAAACTTACTGGGACATTAAAAATTACCTGTCCTAACCTTGTTGCCTGAGAATATTTGCTCCAAATTCGAAAGAACTGACTTACAAATGAAGTTTGGAATAAATACCGTTTAGAAGATATGTACTGCCTAGACATTCTGATGAACTGTATATAGAATGTTAAAGCACATTAACATATAAAGAGGGACCACAGGTTCCTATAGGACAGTGGGAGAAGCCTCCCTAGTGATGTGAAATCACATCACTAGTTGAGCGGTTAAGTCAAGACTAGCACCGGATTTTGATTTCAATGCGTTTTTTCATAGCCCTTTGGCATTTTTTTTCTTGATCATCATGTTTTCCTTTGTTTTTGCTTTTCCTTAAGTACAGACAGTTTCATGTTCATGATCTCTTGTTAATTTCTTTTGAAGTTTATTGACATTTCACTTTTTTAAAGCGGTTCATAATATTTTAAAGTTTGGCTGCACCAGATAGTTCATTTGTAAATGGTAGTAGTGCTTCTCTCTAAGTGGGCTTGGGAATACCTGTGGACATTTATAGTCCTGCAAAGATATATTACATTAATTACATTAATAAAGTTTAGCCGGCTGTTGCCTCTTTTTAGACTTTTTTGTTTTGTTTTGTTTTTTTATTTTATTTTTTTTATTCCTTGAAGGAAGCTGTTTGGTACCAGGAGATGAGTTTGACTTGTATCAAGCAAACATCATTTATATGGACTAAAAAGGATGTATGCGTGCTAGCCTGATATCCTCTGATGGTTACTTCTAGATTTCAGCCCTCTCTTCCCAGTTGAAGCAGCCAAGGAAAGAATGAATGGAAACTGTGTGTAACCCATTTAAAAATCTTACCTGACCATATTGGAGAGGCATCCCGTTTGAAACATTTCTAAGCTAGATATTTATGGGATTTATTTCTCCATGTTTTTCTGTGTAAAATATGATTAACTGTCATGTTTTATTTTTGTCCACAGATTATTATAAGTATAGGCCTCATGTTTTACGTAGTTCACCGAGCTCAAGTGGAACTGAATGCAGCTATTGTAGCTTGTGAAATGGAACTGAAAACCTCTCTGGTTCAAGGCAATCAACCAAATACCAGTGGCTCTTCATTCTACAACAAGAGGACCCTAACATTTTCCGGAGGTGGAATCAATATTGTATGACTCTAACAAAATGTATGGTTGTCGAGAGCTAGTGTGCTGTCCAAGGTCTAGTGGTCACCTTACTAGTGGGCAGAGACAAGTTCTAATTGTATTACGGCACAAACAAAACTGACTCGTTTTTAAATTGCACAATTTTTTTAAAGGAAGAATCATTTTCTGGATATGTAAGTGTAAACGTAGATGCAAATTTGGGCTGCACCTCTTTATCGTTTATTATGCCCGCAATGGCCTATAGGTCTGCACTTTAGTGTTTTTTAATTGTTTTCTTTCTGGGTACTTACGAACAAAGAAATAACCCAAATATTTTTCTGCTTAGTGTCTTTATTTATAAAGTCCCTGAGTAGTTGTTTGCATCTTCCCTACTTACAATGATGAGTAGAAGTATGTAATTTTAAATGTATGACATTATTTAGGTGTTCTTTGTCCTTTCCAGAAAAGATAATGTTTTGTTTTGTTTTGTTGTTTTAAGAGGGACCACTTTGCTTCCCTTTTCTTTACTAGTTAGAATATAGACATTAACTTTGGGTTGAATGTATTTTTGCAAGCATCATTGCAGGGCCATTTACACCTATTCACACAAGCTTAAATCCTACATTGTGGGACTGAAGTGCTCTTAAGATACCTTTTTATTTTCACTGTGTAATATGCAAGGCAAAAGGGAAATTATTTAATGGATGGTGGCTCAAATTAGAACTCAAGTTCTAATTCCATTACATTGGCTTTACGCTCATTAGATCTTTCATCAAAGGGCTGTCCCATTGCAGTCTTACTAAAAAATTTTAGTAAAGTAAATTTCTTTTTCTTTTTATATTCATCATTAGGCTTTGAGATAAAGATCTACTCTTTTAAAATGATGGGCTTTCCATCATTAAAGATGTCACTCAGGTGGCCTTGTTTGATCAAATCGCCTTTTTAAAAAACCAAGCTTTAAAATCATGTTTATAATACCACCGAATTACATATATATTTGTCCCCATAGTCTTCAGCTTTAAAACTATAAATGTAATATTGACTTAATACCCAAATTTGTATTATTTGCCCTACTATAACGTAGGTTTATTTTGTTTGTTTTTTGGTACTTGTTTTTCTCTGATAAGACTCAGGAATTCTGAAATGTGAAATTAAGTCTCAATTCTTTCTCTTGTAGCATGAATTGAGTGTATTTATTAATAGCACTTAGGAGTATAGCATACAGTAATTTGGCATATGATCCATATGACATATGTAGTATTCATTTATCATCTTATGTTTTTAAAATGGTTTGTGAACTTAATGATTAGGTTTTTACAACCCAGATTATAGACATGAATGCACATTTTCTGGTTGGTGTCTTTTTTGGCTATGAAGAGTCTACCTTATCAGAGACCTCCCATTTGCCTTTTCCTCAGGGTAAAACCTTTGCCCTGATTTACTAAAGTGCAAAAGAGTTCTTTTGGGAGCAGGTTATTCTAGTCTTATGCTAGAGAATGCATTGCATTTAATCATTTTAATGCATAAGTTTTTTGCCCTATTGCAGTCATAATTGTTTTCCTTTCCTCTATAATGCATAAATTTTCTCACCTTTGGGTAATGGTGAAGTTCACTTACATGTCGATGCCAAGAAGACCTCAGTGCAAGTGATCTTAGAGGCACCTGGGTCTATAGTACTTAATTGGCCTCCAGTCTTTCTTTCATTGATAGAAAAAAATATATATAATACTGGAATATTCTTATTCTTTTTTTAAATCCTAATTACTTGTTTAGGTGTTTTTATTTTTTAAAAGAATTTGTTTAATAATCCCAGTGAACAATATGTTTGATTTATTCTTGTCTAACTTGACAATATTTTTCTTGTGCTTCTTGTTTGTTGGTTAGTTTTTGTTAAAGGAATCATTTAAGATCACTACTTTCATACTTGTGTTACACTTCATGTATTTTGAAGTGCATTTATTTACTTAGCATTTTGTAACTTGAATAATTTCACCAAATGAACCCCTTTTGGTAGTTTGTAATGAGTTCTCCCAGTTGTTGCATTTTGTTTCATACTTAAATATGTAAAGGTAGAAGAGAAATAAATTTTCTGTATTCTGCCCATCATAATTTTATATAATAAAATCATCCATTTTTACTTAAAATAGTATGGTTTTACTGTTTCTGAAATACTAATCTAAAGCTGCAGTTTTCCTTTTCATCATTATTTCTGGTCTCCAAGTAAACAATAATCCGTTATATTCATGCCATTTGCCAGCTGATTTTTGGTTACTGGGTTTTAGATGTGCTCCCTAAAAGTTGTGCGAAGTATCGCCATGCCTCATTCACTCCATCTTTAACCCCGCATCCCCGATTTATGGCAGCAACAAGTTTCTCCCGGATCTTTTTATGTTGCCCAAATAATGCCTCCAGTCATACAGTGTGTGTGTTTGTAAAATAAAATCTTTTTGATTTCTCAAACTGCAGCATAGAGTTGCTTTATGCACATTAAAAAAAAAAAAAGCATACAATATACATAATTTCTAAATCTGATGAAAGATATGCTCTATTTTTGGTTCTTTGGACCTTTCCCCTAGTTTTCCATACTTTTTGGTTTATTGTTAATGATTTTATGTACTCTGCCAAATTTTGTCATGTGGACTATTTTAAAACAGCACCTCTTTTTAAAAAACATGTACATAATTAAACGTGCTTTCATGTCCATTTTCGTTTGATCATATGGTTTGCGAAATACGTTGAAATCTGTACTCTGGTTTATGAAAATACCAGAACCCAATCTCTGTCATTAGAATGTGTGTTTTGAGTTTGTGTTCAAGAGTGACTGTGTGGGTTTGTTCCCCATACTCTTGTTTTATGTACTTTGTAACCAACTGCAAACCTTGCTAAGATGATTTTGCTTTGATAGGGTCAAATATATGACTATGAAACATTTCCCTCCTTGAGAGGCTAAGTTCACTAGTTACTCTTCCTTGTTCTTGCTGTAACTGAGCTAAGTGGTGTAGCTACAAGCATTTCCTGGCGTTTCCGTGTGTGTTAATGTGCAATGCTGATTTGGACTGTTCTTGGGGGAAGGTGCTCTGGCTTATTTATGTATTTGTGGGACTAGCTTTACAATGCTTGAGAAAGCAGCTAGGTATGTGCCAGGTGATACAGGTAAATCCTCAGATGCATGGTAAACTAAATCTGTGCTATTCAAAAGCAAGTGGCATTTGCAGAGAAGAAGAAAAGTATATGAGGACCTCAGGAATAGTGATACTGACCTAGGTTGATGACTTTGGTGATGGAATCAGAGGCCACTCAGGGTATCAGAATGATGGTCAAAATAACACTATCTGGTTTTCAGATTAGATGTTGCTAATTTCTGTTATAATTAGCTATTTAGAAAATAATTTTTTTAATGGTCATCTCTTTAATTTTAAAAGCCTTTAAAGAAGGGAGAGGAATCTGTTCCACAGGATATTTGAAACTCAGGAGTTCTAATAACCTTGCATATTGAACATAAACTATTCATTTATTTCACAACTAAATTATAACATGGTACTTCTGAATTGCAAAGTAATTGCTGCAAACTATTTTCTATGGTAGCTAAAGATTTAAAATAGATCATTCTAAAGGTGAATCAGTAAAATCTCTTGATAATTGATACCCTAGATCACTTGTGTGCCTGAGAAAATAAAAGGTAATGTTTTATTTTCCTTCTTCCTTCTCTTTCTTTCTTCGTATAATTTGATGGATATAGAGACATATGCCATGGGAGGGAGCAAGTCAGGAGGAAGGGAGGACATGTTCCTAAGGGGGAGTGGTGCTAATTGACCCTAGGTGGGGGCGGTTATGGTTACTGTTATAGCAGATGTCCTGTGGAGAAAGGACTGTGATGTCTAACTTGGCATTTGCACTTTCATTTCGTTTTATTTTTTTCTGATGCCCCTAAGTCATGAAATGCTACCTGCCTTTCAGAAAATTGTTAGTCATTTGTCCCAGGCTGCAGTAATGTTTACAATGCCTTCATAATGTCAAAAGACTTTGACTAATATAATTTCTGGTTGATCTCTACCCTGCTTCCGTGACTGTTTCCTTGGGGGCATGTTCCTGCTGTCATAACACTTTCATCTCAGCACCTAGAGTACCACTTGCCCTTGTTTCTTTGTAGCGGGTCCCATACTATCACGTGTACACCGTGTGGGGCCATTTTTGGTCAAAATTGCTTGCTAGAACACAAAATAGGCCAAAGAGGGGATACCACCCATTACAGACTGCTTTCAAGTAGAGAGGTGCAGTGGAGCGCCCATTGGATAAGCGTATTTGGCAGTGTGTGTGCTCATTACCCAAAGTTGTATAGTACTTTCTGCCATGCTTGCCCTCCTTGGTTGAGGCCACCTGTCAGCACTCACTGCAGGGAAAACATGTATAAGCAGTATACTGTATTCGGAGTTCAATATTGGACCTGTTTAGAGATGGCATTAAATGCATCGTAGTGTTAAAACAGCATATGTGTATATGGTAAATTTGATCATTCTGCCATGTTTCAACAAAATTGATTATCCGAACTGAGTAATTACTGATAACTACTGTCTTTGACTAATATTCTGTAGGGTAATCTGCTGGGTGAAAGGCTTAAAAATCATAAAATATGCAGAGAAGTTAAATAGAAAAGAGTAGAGTATGCATTGAACCAAAAAGGAATAATTTGAAAGTTACAAAATTCTTATCGTAGGTATACAATTAGAGTAGTATGTGGTAATGTAAGTGTATTATCCTAGGATGCATAAGATCCATGACCACCATCTAGAAGCCAGGAGGGAATTCTTTGATTCTGTCTTTATTAGTTATAAAGCTATTTTCAGGAGAAATGTTTTGAAGCATGACCTGTTCCATACTCCTGATCTCTTACAGCCCTGTGATAAGTTGACCTCAGCAAGGAGGGCAGGGAGCTGAATGGTTTTCCATTAAGTTTTTTCAGTTCATTACTCTGACTTTCAGTTAATTAAGTGGTTTTGTGTCATCGCATTTCTACTTCAAACTTACAAAAG